TTCAGTACCGCTCTTAGATCAGAATACTGCTCTTAAAGGCAAAGTACGCGATCATTCGCCGTCACAAATAGTATACTAGGGGTCCACTATTTGTGACGGCGAATAGACAGACGACAAGGTGCTGTGTAACTCGATAGTGGAGAAGAAGGCACACAACAGCGCCCTCATCCGCACAGCTGATTCCTCGTTATGAACTCTACGACCGTACAAGTGACGACTTTCATGCTTTTTCTTCCTCATCCTTTTGCACTGAAAGGACGACCTTGGAGGCGGAGTCACTAGAATTAAGGAGGCGTCACTGAACCTATTTTGCGTTATAGCGCCCCTCCCTTACACTTTTTTGCCGCGAAACCGGTACAGGGTTGTTCGTCGCGGACCACATTACCCTCCCAACGCCATATTTTCAACTTCTGTACCTGATCACGGACCGCCCCTTTAATCCGATCGCTGACGGTCACCTTGTCATATTCCGTTCGAAGTGACGAAATGAAGAGAAATAGACCATACTTTAGACTTTGCCCCTCTGTGGCAAGCTCAGCAGTGTATTAGAGACCGAGCAGAGCATCGATGGTCATTTTTTCACTGTTGATGTTAGCCGTTTCAGGCGCGCTATTTACTGATGTTCCCTTTTCACCGGCGGTGTCACAGTTGACTAAATCGGACGGAAGTGGCACGGAGGGGGCCCCTCATGTTGAAATTTTCGTCATCAAGATGACGTATGTTTTTCGCCATCGAGATGATGTGCATTCGTGCCTTTTCAGCACAATTTTCCACCTTCTGATCTTAGTTGGCTTGAAAGTCCATCATTTATTCCTATGTGAACAAGACTACGAGTTTGACAGAACCTGCCGGATATAAGTTACACAGGCGGCAAGAAAGTCACCACCGCACATTTGAACTGTACATATAATGCGTGGTATGTAAGCTGATGTGCACGTTTTGTGCATACTAACCTTTTTAGGAACTACCACATCACTAGGGATGAGAAAGTGTTATGTTTCTTCGACTCGTTTTCCAACTTCCTAACAGAAGAAGAGACTTGGGCTCGGTCGCACGAAATCAAGCCAACAAAACGGCAAAAGATCTGAACCTTCCTTCGAAAATTTTTTGACAATTACAATTCTTCATTACTTTTTGTATGTACAAGTAGCAATGCTATTAAGAAACCTTCAGCCGGTGATATTACTTATCTAATGGAGATTCTACAAGTGTAACTTATCTAGTCAGCGGTGTTTCTATCATTGCACTCACAGATTTTCCTTTAGAATTAATCGCTGCTTCCTTCATTGTCAAACATGATAACAGCTCCGCATCATCCAAATTAGAGTGTTATTCAATTGATTATTATCACACATGTAAGCTACTTGACACAAATGACGTGATTCTGAGTTGAGGGTTTCTACATAGATTGTAGATCTTCATTAGTTTATGGTAATCTGTTTACTCAATTAGGAATTTCGCTTTTGATTTCTGCACATATAACTGTTTCACTATGTTCAACGACACTGCATTGCCTTCATCTGTTGATTTGCAGTAATAAAAAATGACTGCATTTGATGTAATTTTTGAGAGAGCAGGTCGAGCGTGACACGGAATTCGCGACGCTGAGTCGCACGCAACCTGCTGGTAGGGAAGAGGTTGTATGTGCAGGTATCAGTGATGAACAGAGCCAGCAGAACAGAGCACTGGCACTTATGAACGTATGTTGGAGACGCTCCAAGATAAACTGTGCACATAAATCAGCGTTAACCAAGATGACTGGAACCTCTTTCTTACCGCCTGCACGTTTGCTTACATATTCGTCCAAAGCAACAGTTGTCGTCCAAAGCAAAGCAACATCTCCGCGGAATCCAGCCTCAGGTTGCTCCTTCACTGCGTTGGGTGGTGCTTCGGATGACTGCACCAACGTTTCCTTTCCTGCATCCCTGTGGCGGACTCGTCGACCCCCGTCCGCCGATCCGCAGTATTACGGAAGACATGCTCCGGCAGAACTATCAATCCACGCGTACCTTCATCTCACACACAGAACTGTCACTTCCTCTTTTTCTCCAAACCACGTTCCTCCTTCGATCTTGAACAGGTCAGGAACTTTCATGCTGCCTCTGAGGGTTGCAGCGAAGCACCTCGAAGTTCGCCTAAATTATGTGACCTCTCTCTCACGGAAATGGAAAACGATATGCTTGTCTCAGCCTTGAGCCGAACCAATGAATCTACCTGTATGCGTTTTTCTCATTCTCCAATTCTCGGACTCCTTACGTCAAGGCCCAGCACTCCCTCCGTGATACTATGGATCGCTTCTTACCAGCACACCCGGAAGAAGGATCTTACCGTTGCAAGTCCATCGTTCACACTAGCGGATCTGCACTGGATTTCAGATCGAGAGCGCGTCTTCGCCACTACACTCGCCATCGTGCCTCTGCGAGATGACGAAGTGCCAGCTGTTTGCAGCATCTCGGCGTGAAAAATCACCCAATCCTTGCCACATAGGCCATCTTTGTGACCGAAAAACTGTTATTCGTCCGCCTGTCGCAGCTAAACCAGTAGCTGCCGGCCAATGGCTCGTGGCCCCGCAGCAACCAATGTCGATGTCGCCCTGTTTAGTGACCCCCCCCCCTGAGCTCGGACGAGTTCCGTCACCTCAATGTCCTGCGCTTCGTCGCCAAATCGGCTCTGCGAGAAGGATCATCCACCACTACAGTCGACCTCCATCATGCGGCTCGCAGGCCCTCTGACCAATTTTTTTCCGATACGCTGGTGGAGAAAGGAGCAGACCCTCTCAGTCATGCTCAAGATCGTGTCCTCATGACAGATTAACAGTTTAGTGCTGGTGCCTTCGTGCAGCACGAATCTGCCAGCAGTTAACCGTTCATCTGGTAGCAGAAAACAATTATTTGCCAGCATAACATTTTTATCGAAACCCTTTTTCAGTGGGACAGTATTTAACAGAAATTTATCACAACGCGATGGGCGTGCCCTGGTTCCAACGGCTGCGTGACAATGCTCCCAGTAAGGTTATCAAACCACATTGGGTTACGACAGAGACCATACGAATAATGCCAAAGCCTTCTTCTAATATTATAAGTGGAGTCTCACCAGGGAGGGTCAACAGGTCGCCTCGGTCATTCAGGACGGGATGCATGTCGAGGAGTGGGTCTCGGAACACTGAACTCAATACTGTTTTCAAAACTTGCAAAACGATTCTTTAGGAGAAGCGAGGGAACAGGGTTCTGGCATGGCACCCGCCGGTGCTCCACTGTACTCGCTCAGGTTAAGCAAAACCAACGGTGCCAAATGGCCGGTGTTGCACGCTCTTCAGGACGAGCGAGGGAGAAGGGTTCCAGCATGGCACCCGCCGATGCTCTACTGTACTCGCTTAGGTTAGTTTTGTAAACCAAAAGTGCCAAGTGGCCGGTGGTGCATACATAAGTAAGTCGCGTCATAGATGGTAGGTGAGGTGTTCGAATCCTTTACTGGATCACGTTTTTGCATTTTTTCGGAACACTCCTGAATGTCTAAGTCATGGAAGTGCGTTTATATTGACAAGCTTGCCCGCATGCGCATCGGAGAAAGTGTCGAAGGCTAGTAGTTGTGCTTTTGCCAAAACATTCATTGCAAAATTAAACGGTTTTCAGATGGTACGTGAATGAGTCAAATGGCAGCTATTGAACAGCATATGTGGTGTTTCCCCACGAAATGATCAAAAC